TGTGAGATGGCAAAGGCCAGGCAGGTACCTGCGGCCCAGCTGCCACTCAGCGATGAGGCTGGCAGGCCGGCCTAGCGCCAGCCTTTTCAAAAGCAGCCCTTTTGATAACACCGATTACATTCGCCTCACTAGAGCCTGGGGTGATTGAGCAGCAGCCAACTTCTCTAGGTAACAAAGAGGAGGGAAAGTAATCCAAACACAGGTTTTATTATAAAAACCAGGGAGTGAGAGAAGTATGTTTATTCTGTAAGATAACACACCTGCTCTGTGCTGGGAGGCTCATTTCCATCAGTTGCCATGGCAAACTCGTTATACTTCAAGGCCATGTGGCTTTGTTTCCTTTGGAGATCTGGTCCTTGTCCTACCTTTTCTAACAACTCCAACACAATGACATGGAAGCCTGCAACAGCATAATTGATTTCTCCTTCCCTCTATCAACAGTTCGCATTTGTTCGGCACAGAACTGAGTCTGCCTTCTCCTTTGAACTCCTTGCTAACCATGAAGGCATGCTTCAGAGAGCTATCCTCATTAACATTCCAGGTCCCTCTTCCCTGTCAGCAATAAACAAGCCCTGCATCAATGGCCTTCTTCCTTCCAGCTTTACAAATGAGTGGCTCAGTTCCATGTTTTACTGCGGATCCAGGTGCCCAGGCATACAACGCTGGGCTAAGAAGCACGCAGGAGAGTCTAAAAATAGAACAGCAGTTTTGGACGCATACCAGAGCAGCTACTTCATCTCAACTTGCTTTGCACACTAAGCCTAATGGGATCCATCAGGCAGGAGTTCTCTCTACGCTCTCTCTCACCACCTTTCCCCTCTCTCCCCAGCTGCCTTCTACCATCAGCGCCTTCCTGGTGAAGGGAGCAAAGGGAGGTCAGGCAGGGTTCAAAAAATGTGTGCCCTCATGGTTTTAGTTTACAAGCCCCAAGAGACCCGGGGGCTACGATTACTCCTTTCTTGAGAAAATTTCTAGAAAAGAGCAGGAGGCCTAGCACACGGTCACCTTTGCCCATGTACACTTTGGTCCAAAACCAAGACTGTCATATTTAGCAAAGGCTCAAGTAGCACTTCCTAATCTCTCAAATAAATGTGACCTAGGCCCATACTCACAGATTCCTGGAGAAGTTAAATAGAAAACTTGACTAAACTGACTATTCCTCTTAAAGGTACCACCTGCTTGGCTTGAGGCTAAGAACTTGAGATCAAATACACAGTCACAGATAGAGGGACAGTCTAGGGTCTGTGAAAGCCCCCTCCTTCCACCAAGTATCCTGATGCTATCCTGCCTGGGCATAAGGCCTCTCAGAATGCCAACTGTACTAAATAAGCAAGGCTCCTTTGTGCTGTGGATACACCTCATGATAAAGAATACTGTTCACAGAAAGAGACTTAGCATGACCCAAGTATTTCTTCTATTACTATCTGAAAGATAATGCATATGTTCCAAACAGGGATGTATTATTCCAACAAGTGTCACCCTTGTAGAGTCAGAGTATGAGAAAGATTGAGTATCACAGAAACTAAAATATAAACCCCTTTTTCATTGTAATTGTTTTGGAGATTAGCCAGATACATTTTTTAAAAATTGATCCAACAGCAGATATTGTCTGTTAGCTTTGTGATGGTGTTAAGGCCTTTTAAGTTATAACTTGGTTTCACATAATACCAGTACAAAACAAATATGCCAAACCACCTCAAGAAAAGCCATCCTCCATAGAATCAGCAATAATTAATTCCCCTAAGAATTTCTCTCAGAACAAGTTGCAACATGATCATTTAATCCTCCAGCCACCAGAGGACGGAGGTACATCTTCCCTCAGGCCCCCCCACATTCGTTGACAACCTTTCTTTTACCTCAGGGAGATCCTGGGTCATTTGTTGAACAAATCTCTCATCAAAATCCAGAAAGCTTTCTAGGTTTGCCAATCAATGGCTGCAGTCTAGGAACCAGAACACCTGGGTGTTAGCCCTAGCGTAAACTTTGAGGAGCCACGGTTTCCCTGGGCCCTGCTTTCCTCCCATGTAAAGAAAAGCTTGGTGCTGGAGGGGTGGGGAGAATGTGATTTCTAGGGTCCCTCCCAGACTGAGAATTCCATGATAGAAATAAAGGCTCTGAGAATGTCATTATTTTGGTCCTTGCTTTCTTCCTTGTATTTTGTTGTTTATTTGGTCAGTGGTCTCATACAGAGCTCTTTATCTTGAAAGATAGTGTGTAATTTTTCAGGATGAGAGGCATTGCTTCTTTGAGGTATTTTCCCACAGAGTAACCTTCCTTCTCTTTGCATTTTCTACTAGGAGGTGAGTTTCACTGATTCTTCTTGGTTCATTAAGAACAAACAGAAAGATCCTGTGTTTTGTGAGACTCTTTCTGGATCATTTCCCAATGATCACAGGACTTTGCAATCCATTTGGCAAAGGTGATGGTGACAGTGGGGTATTTGGCAAAGTAGATGAGGTAGTTGACGAAGTGACTGGGCTAAGAAAAATGCTCTTGGCAAAACATCATGAAACAAGGATGGAATGTTCAAAATGGGGAATTTGTACCCCTTGCTGAGATGTCTGAGAAAAACTCCCCTTTAAGAGGTGATATATTTAATAGAAAACAAAAGGGAATCAACAACAGTAATTTTTCTGAGCACTGAGTGAGAAATAGCTAATCTAATACTTTGGGTCTAGCCATCTACCAAGACATCTTTGAACAATATAGAAGTTAAATTAAACTAGACAGGCAGATATTTTCTGAAACCAGTCACAAAAATTAAAAATTACCTTTAAAATTCTAAATTAGTCACTAAATATTAGACAAGAATCTAAACTGGCATCAAAAATCAGTTTCGATTTGAATAAAGCCTCGCTCGGGTTTAAGAGGTTATTTTTTACTAAGTCAGCCCTACTCCACGTCCACCCCCAAAATATCAGCAGATGGATACATGAAGACCAGGATAAAGTCTAAATAAACCATGTGTTAATCTGAGTGTCAGCGCTCTAAAATAGTTGTTAAAATTCCTTTGATGTTGGTGGTCATCACATTTCATAGAAATTTCAGGGACCAAGCTGCCATCACTTGGCTAGGCGGTGCGCGTGCCTATGCATGCATACGTGCTTTTTGTTGTGTTTTGTTTTGTTTTGCAACCAGTGGTACCAGCTGTAACACTTTAATGACTACTTGTGGAACACCAGGGACCTTTCTTTTAACCAGCTGGGATAGGAGGAATAGAAGAAACTCATGGATGAGAGGTCTTTGAAGGGAAAAGGGGATAATGATATCAAATTATTAAATCTTTGCAAACTAGAAACAGTTCAGAGTAATAATTGCTGATATCATTTTATTTACATGTGTGTAGAATCCTTAATAATGGTGTCACCTCAGGCCAAATAATAATAATAATAATAATAATAATAATAATAATAATAATAAGAGAGAAAGAAGTTTTATGAGTATATGTTTGGGATGTTTTCCAGGAATTTCAAGTTGACCAAACAAGAAAGTTCACTCTACTAGATCTCAAATGCTACAGAATTAAAGATTCTTATCAATAGGTCTTGCAAATGGGTAATTCAGTTATGCTAGCTTTTCTCTTCCTGTAGTCAGCTCTACCCCACTTCTACCCTACTAGGGTGTCTACTATGTAAGTTAAAGACATTTAATTTACCTAGTAGACATCTAAATTATATAATAAAACTAGTATGCCTTGTAATTCATTAGCAGTATTTCTTATTTATAATGGACATATAAAGTATTTCTTATTTATAATGGACATATATGTGGTGACATATAAAGATTGAACTGTGTTATTACAAAGTTGAGACTTGTTTAAGAGGCTAAGTGCACAGACAAGAAGAGCAGTTGGTCATTCTCTGATTGGAGATGGCCCATTCTCTCTTTACAGAGGGTGCTGTGCTTGAGCCTTACTTAGCTTTTACTTTATCTTCATCTCACTTCAATTCTGCTGTCACTTATAATAAAGTTCTCTTACATGGCCTTTAAGGGGATAAAAAAGAGGAAGCAGTAGTTTCCACTCCCCAAAAGTCTTCATATCAACCTACTATTTGGGTCATAAAGCCTTCCTACCTTGCTAATTTATTTATTTAGATTTTATATACATATATACGTATTTTGTCTAAACACATGTATATGGATTCTTTTGAGATCAGATAAGCTATATACATATATATGAATAAATAAATACATTTACAAAATTATTAACTTGAAGTTATTTTTGAAGATATTAAAAAAGACACGGTTTCTTTTAAGAAAATGGATGTATTAGTATGTACAATTTTTATATTTTTATGTATTAGTTAACAATAAATTTACTTTAAAAGGAAAATGTAAATTTATCTCTTGGGGGTTTTAATTATGAAAATAAAAACTCAGTCACTTCTCAAAAGAGAACTTAGAATTTAGGCCCCAGACCTTAAACCTTCTGGGGTCATTAGAGGGACCTTTGTCCATATCATTTTACATATGAATTCCCAGAGTCTCAGAAAAGTGAAAGAGGACTTGCCAAAGGTCAGTCCGGTAGTTAGTGACAGGATCAAGACAGTGTTAGGACTAAAATTAGAAGACAGGTTTCCTAAACTACAACTCTGGCCTGCATTGTGCATCCCCTGTCACTTTATACACATACTCAAATATTTTTACATGTATTGTCAGACCTTAAGAATGATAACCACACTCTTTTTTTGGTTTGTTTGATTTTCTTTTTTCTTTTTTGTGCTCTACCACTGAGCTATACCCCAGCCCAGTGACACTGTTCAGAATCATGGTTGTGTCCTATACAAGGTTGTTTTATTTAAAAATCTCTACTGTAAGAATAAAGCTTTTATAATTATGTTTAAGAGGAGTTTTTACCTGGTTTTCATTCTTTATCACAGAGAAGTCTGTTACATTTATTTAATATTATATTTAAGCAACTTGGTTGATGTCCCAGGAAGCGACTGCCCATATCATTATAAATTAGTATCTATCTCCTTTGAGATAAGTGAAACACACTCTTACAAAAAACAAATATTTTATTATTTGTACATGAATCAGTTTGATGTGAAGACACTCAAACATCTGGCTAATTCATAAAAGTAGCCTGAAGCAACGGGAGTGTGTTTGTGGTCATTTACATTTGTTGCAACATTACTTACATTATCTAGTCACTAAGTACTGAGGGGCACATCAGATGGTTAGAACACATCAGACATTTTCACCTTTGGTGGGGAATGGAATGCAACAAGTCATAAGGGCAGATATTCTGCAGAACTGGTTTTCTGGGGCTTGTGGGCCTCAGAGGGAGGGAATGAGAAAAAAATAGCTGTGAGTGCCACTGACCAGCCTCAGCCACAAGAATGCTGTCAAAACAGGGCCCCAGGCATGGCCAGACTCCAGTGGTCTGGGAATGGCCCCTGTCACAAGGGGACCACTTGAAGGGTGGGCAGGGGCCCCCGGGGAGGAGCCACATACTCTTCTTCTCTGAGCAGCCGCAGCAGGATGTTTTTTTTATTCTTGGGCCAGCTGTAAACATGAGTGTTCTGAAGCCAGGTGGGCACATGCTCCTACAGGAGAGACAATGACAAAAACAAAGGTCATTAGAGAAAAACCTGGATTCCAGATCCCAGGCTTGGTTCCCAAACATCTCTGGCTTTCCCTTCATGGGCGTTTCCTACTGAACTATCCTGGGAGTTGTTCTGTTTTGCTTTTGGAAGGGTCTTAGCATGTGCAATGCTCTTGGCTTCGGGTGCAAGCTGTAGATCTCATTATGGAAAACACATGTGCACAGCATTTTCTGTCAGTCTCCCAGGCTACCTGCCCTTTGCATTTCAACGTGCTTTTCACCACCTTCACATGAAAGGGGTAGGACAGAGGTCACACAGAGTGATGTGAATTCCCCCGTGACTTCAGGAGAAGCAGGCCAAGGCTGTGGGCTTAATCTAATTCATCATCCTTTCACTTCAGCCCCAGGTCTGGCCTGCAGTAGAAGGAGCCCATCAGACTCCTGTTGTCAGGCAAAGGCAGAAACTGAGAGCCTGGGGTTCTGGGAGCTCAGTTTCTGACTGCCCTCATGGAGCGGATGTTCTGGCGGGTAGAGGCAGATGATTATTAAGTAAAATGGGTAGTGCCGTCAGTAGTAATATGTGTTGTGGAGTAAAATAAAACAGAAAGAGGAGAGGCGGTGCTGAGGCAGGGGTGAAAGGTTTGCAGTTTTAAATAAGATGCCTAGAAAGGTCTCCCTGAGAAAATGAGCAAAGACCTAAAAGAACAGATGGACAGAGTTTTGTGGTTGTCCAAGTCCAGGCAACTAGAAAAGCAGTGCGAAGTCCCTGAGGTGGGCTTCCACTGTGATTGGAGCAGAGTGAGCAGGGGAGGAGGCTGTGGCAGGGCCTTGTAAGGCTTTACTTTGAGATGGACTCCTTTGGGGATCCTAGGATGAGCTTAGAAGCAGCACCTGGTATGTCAGGCATCATTCTGAGTTTTGAAGAGAGACAATGAAAAAGAGCCCATAACTGCCCTTTGGAGTTCAAAATCTTCTTTGGAGATAAACTACATAAACTATTTTCTAGGCAGTGGCATATCAAGGGGCAGTGGTGAGAGCCACTTGTCCCCAGTTCTGGCAATAAGGGGATTTAAAAATAATAATAAAACCAACTAGAAGTTGGTTTATTTTATATTGCCATACTCTAGTTATCTTAACAATAATTCCCAGTATCCCCAGCCCCAACCACATTCCACTGATTCAAGAAAGACCAGACAATGAAATATATCAACATGGAGAGGAGAGGTCTCAGGGGACCCTAGGGAGGTTGAGTGATATAAGGATAAGCAAGGATTCACTCCGCTGACAAGTTAGTTAAGGGCATTACATGTAGAAAGAACAGAAAGGGCAAAGACATAGACATGAAGGGACATGTCATATGTGAGGGCACGCTGACATGGTCCAGGATCCAAAGATAGAACATAGGGTAATAAGAAAGAAGACTGAGCAAAGTGGGCACCGTCCTCTTCAGAGTGGCCCCATATATGACATAACGCTAAGAAACATAGGTGTGGTCTTTTATTCTGTGGGGAAATGCCACATTTTTAAACTGGAGAGAAAGAGAGATCAGGTATACATTTTGGGGTGTTCCTCTTTGGTGATAGAACAGAGGATGACTGGTATGGGGTCATAGTGGAGATGGGAGACCAGGAAGGAGACTTACCAGGACAATGAGGGTCTGGGCAAGAGAGGGTCAGGGAGGATGATAAGGCATCCTATGGTACAGGCTATTTACTGTACAACCCTACATGTCCCATTCATATAAATTGGACCCTCCCTCATCCAGAGCAGAGAGGTCTCAGTGTAGTCCTCACATCCGGGGGTCCTCCAGAGTGAGCTGGGTTTGGGTTCAGGGTGCTGTGGTCTGATTCTCAAGATGATTATTTCACTACCACCTTTCCTTTGCCACGCCTGGAACATACTCTCCCATGGTTTTGCCCCTGTTCTCTCAACCTGTTGGCATCCTCACATATGAAGTTAGCATATAGCAAAGTTAATTTCAGGTAACTGTAGGTTTAATTCTCTGCCGCTTTAAGAACTGAACTATGTACAACAAAATGCTTATGTGGAAGGAAGTTAGCAAAAATGTCCACATCTTGACTCTTACGTACAAGAGATAAGAAGCATCAGATGAATGTTCTTTTTTGAATTTAAACTCAAGCTACCTCTTTGTGTTCTGGGGGCTGTTTGAACAATTAGGACAGCCTCAATCCTATCAGACAACACTTTAAACCTTCCTGATCCATGCTGCCAGAGTGAATGGTACAACTTGTTGATCTTTCAGGTAATACTCTTTTCTCTAAGGATTGACAGAGAGTTGACAAGGTTTTCCACTTAAATTCCCAGGTGGCAAACAAACCAGAGATTGAATTGTAAGGCTTCCTGTTTCTTCATTTGTTTACCTTTGTGGCATTTGGGAAGAGCACAGGGATGAATCTGAAATTCATGCTTCCTTGTTTTATGAATTCAATCTGCATCTGAAATGAAACAAATAGAAATGTTTAATTTCAGGGAAAGAGGAGGGATTAATTATACCCACAACAATGCAGGCCCACATGGTCATTTTATTTCAGTTTTCTTATTTGAGTGCCACATACTTATACCTTTAAACCCTCCCCATTAGAAACCATGCCATCTACTTGTTTATCAATCATTCACTGAAAGTCTATTAAAAGTCACATTTTCTGGGATTTAAGGACTAGGATATACTCTAGAGTTCTGGAGCTGGCTACTTTTTTCCCAATTCTGTGTTCAGTGGTTTTATTTTAGTAGCTTGAAAGCGTCCATGGTGAGAGTATTTATCCCAAGAAAATGAGTAAGCACTACAAATCCAGACTTTTTATTTTTTAGAACAAATTTAGCAGACCACTGATGCAATCCCTGTCCTCCCAAAGCTAGCAGTCTATTAAGCAGACAGATAAGTAAGTTACCAACCAGAGGGCAGTGCAAAAAGTATGAATGTTTGCTGTGGAAGTCCAGAATGGGGGCTATCCATTCAGCATCAAGAATTTTAAAGGCCAATTACAAGGGAGAGTTCATTTGAGTATGGAAGTAAAGAAATTGTAGCCAGCTAGGGAAATGGGGGAAAGCAAAAGGACAGTCACAGCCCAGGACAGAGCAAGCACGCTCTGGGGTGTGGAAGCATGTTAACGTGCAGTCCATTGTGGCTGGAGTGTGAGATGGGTTTGGCAGAGAGGGAGGAGACATGGTTGGGAGGTCAACTGTGAAGAGCCCAGGCAGCCTGAGGTTCCCACATCAGTTCAATTTGTTTTTACACTGTGGTGGCCCAAGAAGATTTAGCTGCCAAGACTCCAGCAAAATCAGAATTTTCAATAGCAGGGGAGTTAGATGCTTCCAAATCCCATGACTAGTGTATGCTTTCAGTCATCTGATGACAAGGAGATGAGAAATTATGTGCTCCCAACTATTTTATCTTCCAATTGATTTTTATAACTGATAAGTCTTCATCATGCATGGGAATAAAAACAGAAAAGAAGAAAGTGGCAGTAGTGATAAGTGGTTTTGAAATCATAGAAATCCTTCTTAAATACTCTCTCTCTCTCTCT